TCTCTCTCTCTCTCTCTCTCTCTCTCTCTCTCTCTCTCTCTCTCTCTCTCTCTCTCTCTCTCTCTCTCTCTCTCTCTCTCTCTCTCTCTTGTCATTTCGTCGTCATGGTCTTCCTCGTACACCATACACCGTCGTCCTAGTCATCGTTGTCTCATCGTCGTTGTCGTTTCCTCGTCGTTGTCGTTTCCTCGTCGTTGTTGTTGTTTCCTCCTCGTTGCCATCGCTTCCTCCTTGTCGTGTCCTCGTCGTTTCCCTCTCGTTTCCTCTTCATGGTCGTCTTCCCGCTTTCTCCTCCTCCATCTGCCTCCTCCTCCACGGCTTCGTTTTCTCCCGCTCCTCCTCCTCCACGTCTTCTTCGTCGTCCTCCTCGTCCTCCCCCTCCTCCTCCACGTCTTTGTCCTCCTCCTGCTCCTCCTCCACGTCTTTGTCCTACTCTTGCTCCTCCTCCGTGGGTCTTTCTCCTCGTCCTTCTCAACGTCTTCGTCCTCCACGTCGTCTTCGTCCTTGTCCTCCTCGTCGTCTTCTTTCTCCTTGTCCTCCTTGTCTTCTTTGTCCTTATCGTGTACTTGGTATAACCTCCCGCCCCTTGGTTCTGCCCTTGCCACGAGGCGCGCCTTTTTTTTTTTCTTTTCTGGATCTCGGTCGTCGTTCTCCTCGTGCTCCCCGTCAATGCCATAAGCTTCGTCTTCGTCCTCCCTCCTCCTCCTCTTCGCCCCCCTCCCCTTCTCCTCCTCGACTTCATCCGTCTCCTCAACGTCTTCGTCCTCCCACTTCTCCTCCACGTCTTCTTCGTCTTCGTCCTTCTCCAGGTCTTCGTCCTCCTCCTCCTCCTTCTCGTCTACCTCCTCGCCAAGGTATGTTCAGTCACTTCGGTGAGATTTCAAAACGTTTCCCACTCCCCTACTTCCCACATCCCCCATTCACCCCAAGGCTTTTCTGGCGTCACTTGAACGAAGTTTTTTTTTTTTTTAATCTGGACAGGAATCCGGACATGTCCGGATTAACCGGAAAATACCGAAAAACCGGACGGTCGGATTAAACCAGGATTCCCGGTGTCCGGTGTCCGAATTTGTCCGGTTTGGTTGTCCGTCGCTGCCATGGTTCATAACCCCTCAAATTATTGCGTCCACACCAAATAGTTCCAAACATGGGAAATACAAGTCGTTCACGCTCAAAATCTTGACCCTCAAGTTGGTCTCAATTGGTCCCTAGATGATTCCGGGTGGTCCCACTGCACACTCTCGCCTGCAGCACCGGATAGGTTTCAAATACCAATACCGCTTGCAGCATGCGCCGCAAAACCAAAAAGGTGGCCTCGGGTGAAAACTACACGTGTCGCGAACCCCAATGACTACTCCACTGCACACGCCGTGAGTTCCACCAACCTCCATATGGAACTGCGCACTTAAAACAATGTCGTTGGTCCTCGTACCCAAGGTGATTCCCCACTTCAAAGTGAATCAATTTCCCGTGCGACGGTACGAATAGTCTTGCCCCCTTTAAATGTTGATAATGCGCACAAAATTACCACATAAAAATTTAATCCCCCTCCGTTCCAAGAAACCCACTCTCATCCCGGCCCAAAACGTGCACATACGAGACAGATCGCACTGCCCGCGACTGACAAGATCTATTATTGAAGCCCAAGGAGAAGAGTAATTCTGTTTTGAAACTTTTTTAACGAGTTTTGTATTATGTGAAGCACACATCTGCAATATTTCAGGGCATTTAGTTGTGCAAAAAAAAAAGAGAAATCGCCAAAGATGGCGGTGTCGAAAACGTGCTCCCTTACGCACTAATTTTATTTTTCTTTTCGTTTATTCTTATTTGTTTTATTAATTTTATTTTCTGTATTTTATWTKTATTTCAAATTTGGTAAGGAATTTAGACGTAATGTTGGGACAAATGTTGTTGTTTTTTTTTTTTTCATAACATTTTTTTTTCCAGATTTTTTTTTTTTTTTTTTTCCCCTTGCGTTCGCCCTGTTTCGAACGCCGGTTACCTTGTATATGTATATATACATGGTTACCAGGCTGAACGTTCGGGGGCCCCCGGGCTGACCCCCGAATGTTTGGGCGTTTGGGCTCCCGTTCGGGGTTCCAACCTGTAGGGGTTCGGTCCCCTCCAAAAATTATATTAGGGCTTAAACATTATTTGTTTTTGTTGAATTGTTTCTTTTGAGTTGTGTATGACATGCGCTACATGCATATTAAGTTTCAAGGCATTTTGCCCAGCCAAATGAAAAAGAAAACTCGCCAAAGATGGCGGTGTCAAAACGTGCTCGGCCACTCAATCGTTTGGTTTTTTTTTCCACTTTTCACTTTTTGTTTTGATTTTATTTTGGTTCCTCTAATATTTATTATTTTTTGATTTTTTTTTAATGAGCTTTGCATTCTGTGAAATATAAATCTGTTCAGGGTTGCCGGTGTTCGGGACGGGCCAAACGCCCGAACCCGAACGCCCGAACGTTCGGCACCCCCTCTCGACGCGTTCGGGCGTTCGGCCGAACGCGGACCCCAAAAAAAACAAAAAAACAAAAAACGAATTCCAAAAAATCTGAAAAAAATATATGTTATGCAAAAGAATAAACTAAACAACATTTGCCTCAACATTACATCCAAATTCTTTACCAAACTTGAAATACAAATAAAATACTAAAAATAAATAATAATAATAACAATTAGAAAAAACAAAACGAGAATGAAATTATTGAGTGGGCGAGCACGTTTTTGACACCGCCATCTTTGGTGATTTTTCATTTTCTTTTGGCTGTGAAAAATTCCATGAAAATTTATATGTGTATATTACATTATAGAGCATCTACAAATAAAGTTTGAAAAAATAATAATTTTGTTCATGCCCCGAAATAAAGGAAAAACGAAAAGTGAAAAGAGAGAAAAAACAATTAGTGAGTGGGCAAGCAAGTTTTGACACCACCATCTTTGCCGATTTATCATTATTGTTTGGCTAAGCAGAATGGATTCAAAACTTAGAGGGTGGTACCTTACATCCCAAAGAACTCACAAAAAAACATTCAGAAACAAATAACAATATTTATGTGTCAAAACAATTTTTTGCGGGGTCCGAACCCCTTCTAGTTCGGGCCCCGTACGGGGGCCCGAACACCCGAACGTTCGGGGGTCAGCTTAGGGGCCTCCGTACGTTCGGTCTGGCAACCCTGCATCTGTTAATTTTCAGGGCATTTGGCTACCTCAAGAAAAAATAAAAAATCGTCAAAGATGGCGGTTCCAAAAACGTGCTTGCCCACTGAGTAATTTCAATTCTCTTTTCGTTTTTTTCCTAAGAATTTTTTCATGCACGGCCAGGCACCCGGACGTGCAAAAAAAAAAAAAAAAAAAAAAAAAAAAAAACTTTCTCCGCTCTCCCAGAGGACCCCAAATTCGAGCTCGTTTCATTTTGTGAGAGTTGGCTATCAAGGGGGAGAAAGGGGGGTATAAATTATTTTTAAAAGGGCTACGAGGGCTTAAAGGGGGGTATAAATTGTTTTTAAAAGGGCTACGAGGGCTTAAAGGGGGGTCCATTAGTATGATTTTATTATTTATTTTTTATCTTTGATTCGGTGAGGAATTTTGATGTGACCCTCAGTCAAAAGTTGTTTGTATTTCAATTCCACACAACATTTTTTTTTTTGGATTGTGTTTTACTTTCGTAGTTTGTTTTTTTTTTACGTGCGCGCGCGCGCAGAGGCTACCCGGAACCCTGTGTCGGGGGTCATGCCCGCCCAGGCACCCGGGCGTGTATCCAGGTACAAGTTGGGTGCCCGGGCGCCCGGAAAAGCAAGCTAGTTTTTTTCTTATTATTATTTGTTTTTCGTATTTTATTTTTATTTCAAATTTGGTAAGGTATTTGGATGTAACGTTGAGGCAAATGTTGTTCGCTTTATTTTCTTTATAACCTATATTTTTTTTCAATTTTTTGAAAGTTTTGTATTTTTTTTGTATTTTTATATAGGCTACCAGAGTGGCCCGGGGTCACTTGCCCGACCGGGCCAAATAAAATAAAATAAAAAAATAAAAATAAAACTTACAAAATAATTTTTTAATTTTTATTTTTATTTTAAATTTGGTGAAGAATTTTGATGTGACCTTGAGGCAAAACTTGTTCAATTTATTTTTCTGCATAACATATATTTTTTTTGCTGGGACCTTCCCTGGTCCTTGCACAGGCTGGCCACCCGGGACCCGGGCGGCTCAGCTGGTAGCCTAGATGTTTATAATTTTTTATTTTTTTTTAGGTTTGCGTTTAACCCGAACGGCCAATGCATCCCCAAGGGGGGGCTAAAGTTCGGCAGGTTCGGTTTCGGGAGTTCGGCCAAACCCGAACGTTGACAACCCTATATATATATATATATATATATATATATATATATATATATATATATATATATCACAACATGCCTCTCTCTCTCTCGTTCGCACATGTGTACTAAGATTCCTAGTAAGCAATTTTAATGTCCTCATTGCCAAATTCATTTTAAAAAATAAGAAGCAAAAAAAAAAGAAACAAGTGAGTTGGTCATACACACATTGACACAAACGCAGTTACTGCTAATATTGTCAGGGGTCTTGAAGCGCCAGCAGAGCCTGCAATCAGGTGGTCGTGGCTGCAAACCACCCGACCCAGCTGCAACCGACGGGCTTAGTTTAGGTGCAATTTTGAAAGAGGCAGCGATGGCTGGGCTAGCCAGCTGGTAGGACAACCCAATTACCGGCCACAGCTGGGTGGAAAATTCCACGGGTGGCCTCCTAATATATATGTATATAAAACATATAATATTAAATATAATATAATCGAAATCTAATAAAGTAATGTAATATAATATAATATAATAATATAGTATATTATCTCTATATCTACTAAAGGATGGAGAGGACCCGGCTACATGCCCTGTCGCGGGCCCAGCGAATTTCTCAGGAGGTGGGCGGCACTTGGAGGAGGCTGGAATCGGGTAGTGGGACCGCAAATTTTGAGGCGGGGTCCAGGCCTCAGCGGAGGAGAGGCAGGCGAACCGGCGCAGGGGCGAGCCCCAGGCGGAGGCGGGTACCGACGGCCGAAGCAGTGGCACGAGGGATGCGGGCACGCGAACGGGGCCAGGGGCGAGTCCCGGGCCGAGGCGAGTACCGACGGCCGAAGTGGTGGCACGAGGGATGCGGGGTCGAGGGGGCGGAGGTCAAGGGAAAGCCGTGGAGGGGGGCGGAGGCTCAGGCCAACGCGCTCACGAGAGATGCAGGGTTGAGGGGGTAGAGGCCAACGGAAAGTTGCCGAGAGGCGGAAACCGAAAAGCGTCATGCAGGCCAGCGCGCGAACGAGCGGCGGTGTAGGGGCGTGGGACGACCAAACCGCGGGAAGTGGGAACGACGG